AAAATAAACTTTAATGCTCAAATCAATTCAAATGGTTTTTAAATTTTTATAAAGAGTTAAAATACTCGTTACTTATAGTGTGGGACAATTTTATAATTTTTTTGGTTATATCATATTTATTATAATTTTTATGATTTAAGATGACTTAATTAGATATAGAAATGTACATAATTATTTAAACTTAGTTTATAATTTTTATTGAGTCATCTAACCACAGAGAACCTACAAAAATAAGTCCCATATTTTTCTAATTTATTTTTTAATTTATCTAATTATTTAAAGGAAAAAATAGGCAACTAGACTTGAAAATTATGGCTTTTATGGTTAGAGGTGTTTTTTGATTTTGGAAAAACTAGAAAACATCTCTCACCACATGCAAAATAATCCATCCAAATTTCAAGCCATTGAGATTAATATTTAATTAAATATAATTTTAATACTCTCTCGAGTATTTAATTAAGTAAAAATAAAATTCCTTATACATAATATATATTTTTAATCCATAATATTCTCCTCTATTTACTGAGCAACAGAGTATTTTTATTTTATTTTTGTGATTCTCTTCACCAAGTTATGAATTTTTAAAGTTTCAATGTTTAAATAAATAAAAAAATGCCCATTTCCTACTTATTCACGCGGCATCCACGTCAACCTCAGTGTCTCCGAAAGCACATGCAGCTGCTCCTGATTCATTGTGTTTTACACCTCAGCGTGTCACACATCCCACTGTTCACGAACAGATATCCCATCCTACTCGTCCTCCGTTGTTGGATCAATACATGCACGAATGGACGACATCCGTTCATCGTCCCCATCTGTTATAAATCGCGAATCGTCCATAATAAAACCCTAAGATCTCACTTCAATACTAAACCAAATCACATGGGGTTTGTTTCTATAGCTTCATCTACTCAAGGAAAGCCTATCTATACAGTTACATGCATATGAAATATAAGTTTACTTCACAGTTGATGAAACCAAGCCTATTAGGGATTTTGAAATTTACCTTTGCACAAGAGGTGAAGCCTCAATTGGGTGCTTGTGGAAGCTTCCTTGTGGTCCAACAATGTGGTCCAACAAACCTCCTCAAAGTGTCACCTTGATCTGGTATAAGGTCTAAGTAGGAATTCAATCAAAGGGTGATGTAGCCTTTATCTAGGTGTGGGTCATAGAGCTCAACAAAGTGGAGTTTTGGTGTTGAACTTCCTTGTTTGGTCTAAGGAAGCTTTTGGATGGTTTAATTTGAAGTTTGGGGGAGTTTTGTGGAGTAATAGAAAAAACTCTAGATTTGGGTAATTAAATTGAGCTTGGGTAGTGGATTTTAGTGGTTGGAAATGGTGGGATTGAACTCTGGAAGAATGGAGGAAGCTTTGGAAACAAATTGGCAGAGTTTACCTAAGGATTTTGCACTTCTTGCTTAATGGCCGAAAGCGGGGATTCTATAGCCATGGCCAAGGGGGGAGCTCTGGGCTTTGATTTGTTGGTCTCTTAAGGCTGAGGTGGAGGGATAAATGATGCAAACAACCAATGGGAAAGTGCCACATGGGATGGGCTCAATTTTGGTTCAAAGGTGGGGTGCCCTCCTTAGTTTTGAGCTCTCTGACAACTAGGGTGGCTGGTCAGAGCTGAGGTGGTGGCTAGCCGGCTCAGAAAGATCAAGAGGTTTTAAGCTTGGGACTTGGGAATGCTAGCTAAATGGGTAAGTGGGTTTAGTCAAATTAAAGTGGAAAATCCCATAATTTATGGGACTATTGGTCCATGGCTCCAAAGGGGGTCATTAGGTGATGTGATTAACATCCAAGGGTGCTTAAGCATGATAGAAAAGATTAGGGTTTTGATCAACTTAGAACACTTGAGGTGGATTTGAAATTAGGATCAAAATGAGGGTCTTAAGCTTAGGCATAGGTTTGGTCTTGAATCCAAATCTATTAAAAACTCAAATTGGTCTAGGAATGTGTCCTGAAAAATTTAGGGAATAAATTTTGTGAAATTGAATTGAGGTCAATTTGGGGCATTTGACTTGGGCTTAAGCGTAGGCTTGGCTAGAGTTTGTATTTGGCTCAATTAAAGGATCAATTTGGTGTAAAATATTATCATGGGTGATTGGAAGGTCAATTGGGTGAAAACTGAAAGGTTATGGGGTCAAATTTGGAGGAATTTGGATTTTCGGGCAAAATTGATGATCTTGGTTTGAATTGAATTCGAGCTAGGTTTGAGTTTGTTTCTAGTCCAATTGAAGGTCTAAATTGGTCTAGGGGAATGTTATGAAGAGTTTAGGAAGTGAATTTGGTGAAATTGAATGGGTATGGGAGTTCAATTTAATAGAAATTTGGCTTAAGGACAATTTGGGGCATTTTGATTATGCTTGGAATTTGGGCTTGAAATTGGGTTCAGTTGGGCCATAATTTGGTTTCAATTGGGCTGGGATATGATGAAATTTGATTTGGATCTGAAATTTGGAAAGTTTGTAATCAATTTGGTGGAAATTGGGGGTGATTTTAAGACTAGGCATTTAAGGGTAAAATTGAGATTTTAGTCAGAATTGGTCAATTTGGTTAACTTGGGCTCAATGGATGGATAGAATTGGTTTTGGGGATGTTTGGAATGATTTGGGAGGTTTTGAGAATTCTTAGGCCATGAGGGGCATTTTGGTGAAGTTATGGGTATTTTGAAAATTTTTAAAATTTTGGGCATTCTAAGCAATTTGGGTGATTTGAAATGGTTTGGTATGATTTTTGAAGAGAATCGAGAAAGTTAGAAATTTTTGAAAATTTAGGGTTCCAGAGAAAATTTGGTAATCTTAGGAAAGTTTAGGGGTAAAAGGCCAAAATTGGGTATTTATGTAGAATGGGATCAATTGAAGAAGCTAATCATAAAGTTACCTTTATGGTGTCATGAGACAAAGGGAGATCACATTTTGTATCCTCTATGTGTTGTTCTTAGCCAAACCCCAGCCTAGGGTTAAGGGTTTCCAAAAGAGTGTGGAACCAGACTAGGCATGATTGGTTAAGAGTTTAAATTGTAAGTGAAAGTGAGGGGTTTAAGTGTGTATGTGCAAGACTGAACAAGACCACACCGCCCAGGGCTAACCCTAAGGCTAAACAGTCCTATGGGGACTTCTCTTGAACTCCCCCATACTTGACTCCATCCTACTAAGTGCTAGAGGTTAGAACCAAACATGTGGAACTCCAAGAAGAGGAAAGAGGTATTTAGAATTTCTAGGAGGGGGGTTCCATCACTAGTTTTCTAGGAATAGTCAACATGAAAGTCCTATGGCTAGATCATAGGCTTCTAAGGAAGAAAGACAAGACATCAACAAAAAATGAGGTCAACAGACTACTATGTAGTGATGATAGTTTAATCATTAATAGTGATAGTTAGCTTAATGATTAGTTTCAATTTGTCATAATCAATGGTTAAGGATCAAGATAATCTAAAATATGTCAACTTTTCAAAAAAAATCTTTTTCCTTTTTCATCTAGATCATAAGAAATATTTTATTTTTTGTGATAATTTTATTTTAAGAAATAAATCATCCATATATATATATATATATACACTCTTTTGAATAAATTTTTAAGTTATATAAATAAATTTAATTTTCAAATGCTTCTCAAAACTCAATGTCATGCTAACATGCTATAATTTAATTAGCTCCATTTTTTCATAATCTTATATCAATCACAGGGGTTAAACATACTAGATGATTCAATTAACATAATATTATAGATGTTATTGATATAAGGGAATAATCAATTTTTGTATACAGATATAATGTTTTGTGATGCCATATTTAGGTACTTACTTTGTATAAAATTATGTACTCTAGATTAAAAATGCTATTGTATGGAGGTATACATAAGAAAATGCCCTTCAAAACATCATAAGTTATTACACAATGTGATATGTTAGGCATAATTAAACACTGATAAAAAAAGTTTCAATATTTGATGCTTTTTTGTACCTTTATTATACATTTTATTTGGAAGTTATATAAATAAGCTAAGATATAATTATAAACAAACAAATACCCTTTGAGGAACAATAGACCTTTCTAATTTAGAAGAATCAAGAGACAACAATTAAGAGTGAAAAGAAGTAAAAAGGAACTGACTTATGCCTTGTGCTTATATACCTATTTTTAGTCTTATGCATTTATGTTTATACTGAATTTGGTTTTATTTTGTATAGTGTCAAGCTATCCATATTTTTTTATTCCACATTAATACAATTAATTTAGCTCAATCACAACCACTGCCTGTCTTGCAACTTCTATGATATTTATAAAGATATTTGTGATCGTTTATTTTTCTTTTAATTAATATTATGTAAATATATGAAACCTTTTACTAGTTACTCTTCGAAAAATGTGTCTATATAAAATTAAATAAACTTTTTATAAATTCTAGAATCTATCATAAAAAATTTTGTTCTACAATATTAACACATGATCTCTCTCAAGACCACTATTTTTAAAAAGAACTCGTTCCATTTGCACTTATATAAAAATATAGCTAACCTATTATGTTGCACTAATTATTAAAATGACATCATTCATGCCATACCAACATCTTTTTCTAAAGATTACGAGCAAATATTTGAACATTCTGATTATTTACAATGAGTTATTTTAAGACTAAGAGATCAAACAACAATCAAATTAGATAATTAAGATAATTAAAAATAATAAAAAAATTTTAGAAAATCCTGCAAGCTCAACAAATAAATTGTTTTAAAATATTATGCTTATCATAAATTTTAAATCTATATATTTTGCAAGCAATTTTAAAGTTATTCAAAAAATCCTCAAATTCTATTAAAGCATTAAAATATTTAAATTAAATTTTCTTTGACATACCTCTATTGGATCAAATAATAAGAATTGCATATAATTGGATATAACTGGTGCATCTTTGGATCCAACCCCTACATCTATTTTCTTGATTAATTTAAACGACCAAGTTTGAGTCAAGCAGTAGCCACACACGAACAAGAATATGTAAATAGAGCAAAACACCAACACTATTCACGAGCAATTTTGTAGACAAGTCAATTTTGAACACGAGCCAATTTTGAATGAGCTGAACACAAGCCAAGCCTGAGCTCGCTCCAGCTCGGCTCATTTACAGCCCTAACTACCTCTTATATCTTATCTCAGAAATCTCCTATATCAAAACCATTACATATTTTTCAAAGAAAAAATGCATCAACTATTCTTGAAGTATATTGGGAAAGCATTCACATCCACATACAAATTGATGAGACGAGGGTAAAATGATAAGATGATGTATGGCTAAAGGAGCTACCTCCTTCGCTTCTTCTTCTCAGGAGTCTCATGCACTTGGGCTTTAATTCCATACATTCTCAACTGAAAGTTCTCAAATGCTTCGGATACTGCCTCCACCTGCCAAAACAGAATACAGTTCCATGCCTAGAAGGCAAAAAAAAAAAATACAAACACATTAACGGAACTGGACAGAGAACACCAACCAGCTCAGGCTTTTTAGCGTACACCCTGACTATTCTGTCTTGATATGATGCAGGAAGCAGGTTGCTGATGCGATCATCTGAAATATAAAATTTTTCTTTGCTCTCATAATCCTGAAAACGTAAAAATCAAATTTTAAGTGAGAAATAAATTAAATATGGTGGAAGGCTATTTAACGGGCCCCGGTCATCCCTAGATGTGTTAAATATTTGAATACCACACCCTACAGAAAGGGGGATCTGAACTTGTGACCTATTGGGACTTACGACCATCAGAGAGGCTGCTCTACCAACAGCCCATGGTGTGTGTGTGTGTGTGTGTGTAGATGCGGCCTTTCGTATAAGTCTCTCGGGTATGAGGTTCGATCCCTGCATAGGACCGAATTACAGACCCATCTGGAATGAGTGTCCGCCCCTCGGTCAGACTTTGGGGTTGATCAGCGATCAAACTTTTCAAAATAGATATATATATATAGATGACTTTGGAGTAGTTACAGGAAATTCTGTAAGCTCTCCAACTAAATACACCAGAAAAAATAGCTGAAAGATATAGCTATAAGTGCATTAAAAGAAGAGATGCAATTGATGCAGCAAGCTGTGCTCTGTGGACTCTCAACGATATATCAAATCTACAAGATGCATTAATGAAATGAAAATAATACAGTAAGCCGAAGACCCCCCCCCCCCCCCCCTCAAAATCCATCAATAAGGGAGTTTAGTTAAGGACCTTAGCAATATATTAATGAAAACAAAAAAATGCAAAGAGAGCCCCAGCTTAACGGAATACAAAAGATGTTAACCATATGATGAGCAACGAAGAAAAATACAAGAGCTCGAGAATAAAACACGTAAGATCCACTGTTGAAAAAGCATGCCACCACCAATATAGATTTTGATTGTAAAAATTTTCCTTGAGAATTTGAAATTTAAGGCATCGTCTAGTTAAAAAAATGTAGATCATTAGAAACATGAACTTATTTCTTCTCTAAAATGTCTAAAAGTGGTCTATGCAGAGAATATTAGATGATCAGAAACAAGTATGGATTATTTCTTTTCAAAGAAGGTGAAAGAAAAAAAGAATGATAAATGCAACTTTTAAAGCAGAATGGATTAAGTATTACCTTAAAGAAACTGGTTCTGGCAAGCACAATAAAGAAATACAACAAAAAAGGAATATATTAGTATCTTAACCAAGTGATTTCAAGAAATATCAAATAATTGTAACACTTAATTATTATGTACCTCTCTAGAGGGTTATATCTTCCACAAGTTAGATCAATTTTAACATTGCTAACAGCAACATCTTCTTCTCTCAATCGCAGTCCAGTTGCTTTCTACAAATCGCTAATAGCTCAATTAAGAAAAAAAAATGGGAATAGAAAAAAATTTCCAATCAAATATGTACAAGCATCGAATAATGACAAGAAGAACCTGGGAGCAGACAATGTCCTGTGCTGTGATTTCCTTAAAATGGTCTAGCTTGTCTTTGGGAACAGTGTATTCATTGCAAAACTGCAAATAGATCCAAATATAAATTGAAACATTTAAAATTATAAATTTATAACTTAATGCACCATCCAATGGCATTAACTCTTTTTTCACAGCTGATTATAATGAGCACGTGATTGAAGGAATCGAAGTCTAAGGGCAGATCATTACCTTGTACAATTCCCGCCTCTTAATTCGCAGGATAAGTTCTCTAGATTCCTTCAGTTCTGGATCAGGTGATGTTTCAATAGTTTTAAGTATGCCATCACAAAGCTGAAAAAATATGATGATGTGAATTCTGACATGTTACGCATTTGATGAGATAATTTGAATAATGAACACCAAGAACCTTCCAATATTCAGCAGGGTCAGCAATGTAAGATGAGATCTCAAGATGATCATTCGCTTTTACTAGTGAATCAACAACCATAAGCTCTATTGCCTGCACAATATCGTAATCCTATAAGACAGATCTTGTGATAGAAAATGGACAAGATGGAGAGAAGTGCTTAAGGTGAGAAAATTTTAAGGAGTCATAGAATCAGCACTAAATGGGCTTCCACAACATCAATTTGGTTTCGAAATGGTTCCACGACTGTTTGTGTGGCCAATTTAATGACAAGTATCATTTTTGTCAAGTTCAGCCCCTCAACTATATAAAGTTGATCCAAAATAGTATCTCATAAACTAAATTGAGAACATTTTTATATAATCAAGAGAATGAATTATAATTAATTCTGTATTATAATTTTTTCATGAAGAGCCATTTTGGATAATTTTGTATAGCCGAGGAATTAAATTGGAGAAACGTGTGCTCTGGAACAAAATTGGCCATATACAAATAATTGAGGGACTACTCCGGGATTTATTCTACACAATTTTACTAACCCAACCTTTCAAGAAGCATAAAAAAGATGATGAAGAACATTCTTCAAGATGCAAAAATGCAAACCAGCAATAAAGTAGATATGCTATAATATCCGACTTAAATAAGGACTGACGTGTAATTAGAATAAATAAAACAATTCCAGGGGGAATTTTATAAATTTATTAAGAGCTGTCAGGGTGGTCATGTGAAAGACTTAAAAGGGGCCAAGGTGCATAGTTTGGAACTACATAATCCATCCACACTAATGCTGTAATGTTGCATAAATTTTGAGGATGCAAAGAAAACCAAATGCAATTTATACTTTTCATATTTATTTGCTTGGATGGAAAAAGAAATACATGATACCACTTTGTTTAAGTGTAAACTTCATGCATCAACCCAAATATTCTGCATGCATTTGAAAATATCCCAAGTAAACAAAACCGCTAGATCTTTTAGAGAATGATACTGTAAAATACCATGTTTCAATGTCATGACATCTTTATAAAATTACTCCGAATATTTGTGTTAGTTTGTAGTGTGAGACTTTGATACTTCATGCTATAATAATATATAGCAATAACGCTCTAGCTTTCACTTCTAAAATATATATGCACCGAAAATGTTTGCAAACAAAATGCCATTATCACATCAATAAAGAGTGTGATATTGGAGTTAATCCAAACTACATAAGAAATAAAATATTATTGTTGAAATCAAATAGCGTTACGACGATGACTCTTCAAACAAGAAATAAGTGATAACAACCATAAAACGATATAAGAAAACACCCCTAACCTGTATCTCGAGGTGTGTTGGCCGGGATTTTTGAAAAAAAAAAAATAGATTTGAATTTGGATTTAAGTATATATAGATATAAATGTAATTTCGATTTTGAAAAAAAAAATTATATATATATATACCATATATATATATTAAAATAAATGAAACCAAACGGTCTCGCATATTTGATAGTTTGGATGGCTGAACGCGATACCACAAGTAAAACACTATCCCGAAGAATAAGCATATCACTTGTAGTAGGCTTAATCACCCAAACCAAAGAATTCTATAACATCTGTTTGGTTTGCGAAACCTTTTATATGAGGCCGACAAGTTTCATTATCTAATATAAGAATTAGATATGGTTTATTTTACCTGGGTTCCAAGTTCCCTATAGAGGCAAACCCTTATAGTTAATTATATCTTAAATGACCTGGGTCACTTAAAAAGACTCTCGATTAAGATCAATGATTCTGCCTTCAAGATTTCAAAGTTTAGGTTTCCAAGATTGGACACGGGAAAGTCAAATGTGAGTGATTCAAATAAGAAAAGTTATTTTAAGGAATCCAAAGGAATGAAGAGTTGAGGATATCACGAATTCGAGAAGAACCCCGGTGACATATCAACTATCATATTGTTTGGCTTTATGTCTTTGAAATAATGTTATTCAATGTTTAATTCTTCAATTTATTTTAGAATTTAGGACTTACATTCGAATTCGATCGTGCAAATAGCCTAGAAAGATAGGAGGATTTACACCATACCGTACGACAGCCTCGGAATCGTAAAAGTGTTAGGACTCATAATCACACAACATGGTTGTGCAAAAACCTAAAGTTAATATGTGAGGGTTTACATTGCGTCGGCCGAACCACCTCGAAATGCTATGGTTTATTATTTAAACTAAGAAAAAAGTTTAGTTATTGTAGACTTACAGTACTGCTGTAGATCGTCATTCCCCGTCCACTACGTCTTGATCGTGCTGCCCACGAAGGGTTGCTTCATGTTCCATGTAACAATAGTTTCAGGTTCAGTGTTTTATATGTGAGCGTGCAATATTGTTATTTGGTGACTTACCGATGTGTACCTCCTAAACCAGACTATTATCAAAGGATTTTGTAGTTAATTTAAAGCATACATAAACTAACTTTGCTATAAGGAAGTACAGTGAAAAAAAACAGTATAAAGTGCGGTATATAAAAGCAGTATAAAAGAAAGGCATCGTAAAGTGCAATAAAGAAAATGCAGTAAAGTGCAATAAATGTACTGTAAACTTTGAGTACCTGAATTTATTGTTATTGTTATACCTGTAAATGGAATCAGCGTTGCAAGTAAAAGTATAGTAGAGAAATTTAGCTAGCAAGACCATTTAATGTTTATGTATAACAAAATAAATGACAAAGTAGCATATGGAAAGCCCTGAGGAAAACTGAAAGTGACTCACAGAGACTCTCACAGAGACTCGAAACATCGTAGAAAAAAAACACAAACAAATAAAACAAAACACAATGTCACATATAAAGGACCAAGGGTAGGTGATTTATATGTGACATTGGGAATATCCCCAATTGCTAGGAGGATATGAGTGTAAGATTCAAGCTCAAATACCGTAGCATTGGGTTTTATTTTAAGTCAAGTTATGAACAGAATTTCATTATTTGATTTAACTAAATCAGTCATGAACCACAGTCTGATGCATATCTTATCTATTGGTTTAACTAACTTATGAATTAGGATCAGGTGCCTAACTTCAGTATCCATTTGAAAATTAGGTAAATGAACTCAACTAGGGTGCGCTCCTAAAATCTAGAAAGCCTGCACTTTAACTTGAGCTTGAAGTGTTTGAAAGTGTTCTCTTCAATTAAGTGTTTTCTAACTAATCTTCGACCATCTTTGGGTCAAACTTAGCTCACTATCATGCTCTTAAGACTTAAAGGTAAACATATAATTTTGTTAAGAAGGTTCATGAAATGTGCTTCAATCCTGATTAAAATGATTGGGTTTAAGTCTAACTAATGTTTAGGGGTTCTAATTGATAGCCTACTAATCTTTCAGTTCATGCCCCTAACTCTTGAATCATTAAATTCTTACTTTCTTTCAATTCCCAACAATTCTTACAATTACAATTTTATCATTCTTATGTAAAAAAAGTGAATAATTAGCTACCCTATTTCCCTTCGGGTTTCAATCATTTCAACAGACTAATTATCATTGTTTTTCTTTTGGTTCACTCCCCTCTGATTACCCCTTTTTTTAAAGACGTGATTAAATCCTGAAAATAATTAAATCAGAAATTATCATTTTTTAACTTAACCATTATAAAAAAAATCAACGAAGGAGGCCGACCCACTTCTAAAAAGAAATCAACAAAGCAAAGGGGCAAAGCCACAAGTAAATCGGCCTAAAAGCATTTAAATTCTTTCAAAATAATGACCAAATCAGTCCCAAAAGGTGCGTAAACAAAAATCCAAAAATCAGCAATTAAAGTGCTCAAATCGATATATAAAAGCCCCAAAAATGTACTAAAATGAGTACACCACTCTCCTCATAACGAGGCCAATCCGCAGCCCGAAAACCTTGCCAAAACGAGGCTACACTACAACCCAAAAAATTGCCAAAACGGAGCCAAACTGCAGCCCAAAAAACCTTGCCATAATGGGGCTACACTGGAGCCCAAAAACCCTGTCAAAACGGGGCCAAATTGTAGCCCAAAATCTTGCCAAAACGGGGCTACACTGTAACCCTAAACCTTGTCAAAACAGGGCCAAACTGCAGCCCAAAACCTTGCCAAAACGGGGCTACATTGTAGCCCAAACTTTGCCAAAACGGAGCTACATTGTAGCCCAAAACCTTGCCAACCACAGCCAGCATGGCTTCAAAACGAACTCAAAACATTGTGAAACCGTGGCTCATTTAGGCACCAAACCCTAGCTATCAATTGTGTATTAGAAATGTAAACACACGGGAATTGCATAGTATGTATATAACCCTCCTAGCACATATTAGACATGGCAAAAGATAAATGAATAAAATTGCAGAGGCATGAATATAAATCATCCAAAATGACAGCTGAGAAAGCACACAAGATAGACTTAAATTACATTCAGCCTCAATTCCAAAATAAAGCCGAAACCGCCCCAACTTATCCCCAAAACAGGGCTAAGAAGAAGCCCTACAAATTCCCCAATGCCAAGCCAAACCGAGCGCCAAAAAGGCCCAAATCACATGGGGCTCCTCTATTCCTCCCCCACCTTTCCACATTTTGTAAAAGCATAGAGTAAAGCCTTCAAGTTTTGTAAAATAATCCACCCATACATTTCAGATTTTTGCAAAATAAGCATGCTTTTCCTCACATCACCACCATTTGACCCACTCCAAATTTCAGCCAAACCGCAAGGTAGAGGGTAAGCATGGAGCCAAAAAGACCCCAAAACAACAACCAAATCATGCCAACAATGAAGTTTAAAACATACCCAAGTGTGTTCTACATGCCCCAACATAAAATAATGAGAATAGAGAACAACTAAGTGGCCAAGAAGTTTTAAGGTGTTCCAAATAAGTGGCCATGAAATTTTAAGGTGTTCACTAGTTATGCTAGCGTGAAGCCCCTCTATTCGACCCCCATCTTTCTGGATTATGTAAAAGCATAAAGCAAAGCCTTCAAGTTTTGTAAAATAATCCACCCATACATTTCAGATTTTTGCAAAATAAGCATGCTTTCCCTCACATCACCACCATTTAACCCACTCCAAATTTCAGCCAAACCGCAAGGTAGAGAGTAAGCACGGAGC